ATTTCCATCGAGTCGTTGCCTTCTCGATTTCTGTGAGATCGATAGTGCTCTACTGTTCAGGCTGTTAGTGAGTACTGGGTAGTTAGACTGTAGCTTGATAACAGTTAAACTGCTGCAGCGTTTTTCGCTCATAATTCTGGTTGCTCGATTTGAAAGTAGTCCATCTCTCCGAGAGATAATTTTGCTAACAACCGACTTTTTATCCCTTATCTTCCTGAACAATTGCTTCATGTTACCCATCACCACTACTGTTCCCATTATTTTGTTTTTGTTACCCACCATCTCTCGATTACTACGTAGTCTTTGTTCGTTTCTATTTCAATCTTCTTTGCTCCCTCATTGGTAATGGACCCACTGATACGTTCCTAAGCATATACTAGTCTAGCAGAACTTCTAAAGTTCGATTGGTCTTCCTTGACCTTTTGCTTCTGTTTTACTTTCGTCAACATGCGTCACTTGTAGTGAACGCTAAATTTCCGTTTACCAACCAAAAAACGAGTATACAGTTAATCACTTCTGTTTTACTTTGTTATGTTCATGAGATGACTTTGAAACATTGTTCTTATATTTTAGGAGCACCGAGCGGACGATGTTGATGCTAATGGCAAGGTGCTAAGCAAGGATAGAATGCCACTTGATGAAGTAGTGAATATTCACCAACTGAGGTAGTTAAGACATGTAATATGTATGCCGAATCGCCGTCTACCTAAACGCTGGGTTATCTCCGTTGAGTGTAGTTATGCACGAACTCTTGTAGAAATGTATTCAGATTTACTGTGAGGGTTGAAAAAATTTAGTTCCTTAGCTTGATGTAATTTTAGGCAATTCGACTATTGGAACTGAATAATCAGTTAAATGACGAACACGTACAAAATTGGTTCACAGGTTTTTGATATTTGAAGCATTCTGTTGATGTGGAGACAAGTCCAGATGACAGTTTAACTTTAAGATTGATATTGGAGTTGGGTGTATAGATAATTAAACGGACATGGGATGATTGTTTAGTTACAAAATATTTATATTACTGAGGAGGACATATAAGGCAAGACAGGAATATTTATCCTTCAGATTAGAGTTTAACTCCCATCTTCAGCGTGACACTATCAACGAACAACTCGTTTACAGCACTTGCCTAGATGGTTAAGTAGAAGTATAATAATTTAGTATTTTGGGTATGCTGTTCTGTATATATGTATATATCAGTTGGTTTTCCAAACAAGAAGCACTTCATGTATACTGATAAGTTTATGGAAAGTTACATCATCTGGCTGTTGGTTAAAAGTTATATACGATAAGGCTTTTCGAAAATCTGCAAACATTCTGTGGATCCCCTACTACCAATTCGAAATTCATTCGTATGGGTATTCAAAGGAAACAAGTAGAATTTTGAGTGACAAGAAAGATCGGGGTTTATAGGTATGTGTATACACATTCATTGTAGCATGACATTCAACTTATGTGTCTTACCACATGTCCAGACAATAAAAGGAGTATGGAAAATCTACTCTGCGAACATGAGGATGTAAACAGACAGATTAGTTTGTTCTTACTGTTACAAATAATACCCAATGGAAAAATTAAGTGGGCTTGATGTATATTTACTCGCACCATTCTCACTATTCACATGCCTGAACGGAAGGGCACTTTTAAATCACTTTACTTCCCGAAGTTAGGACATGTGGTTTTTAAGACAAACTCTGAAGGACCATAAGGTAGTTGTTGTACGGTGAAGGGTGCTTGATGAACATTCCAATCAGTCGAAACCATTTAGAAGGCTCAGTAATATATACACGTTGAGTGATAGTGTAGATGTTTCAAGTCTAAAACGAGATTGGACCTGGTCTTTAGAACTATTTTCAGAATGATACCATTCATCCACATGAAAACAAAATCTAATTTTTACAAGGAATGGCCCACTGGAATGATATGAAGAGACATTCACAAGTATCTGAGAATACAGCATTAAAATCGCCGATGTATTTACCTCGGGATTCCTTCCCACTGGAATGGTGGAAATTATTCAATGAGTGAAGTTGATGTCTATTTCAAACAGACAGTTGAAAAGTTCATTCTTTACATTTCAAAGAAAACTGCTTTGTTGATATACCAGACTATAGATTATAAATGACTCCAGTATCTTCGAATTATATCAGATAAACGGATTAATGTCTGACTACCACCAAGAGAACCCAGTTTTTTCAACCAACCAAAATTTGTTTGAATCATAACCGTAGCCAACTGCCTTACGTAAACTAACAGTTCACCCAACATATTGGTTTTTATGGATAAGATTGTAAATGTAGTGACAAAGTATATTGATGAAGATATCATGAGAAGAAAGTATCAACAAACCTTTATCCATTTCACAGATACTCTTTATTCCAAACAGTTACCAATCACTTGGGACAAATAAAAATCAAAATATAAACTGTACGTGTTAACAGCAAAACATTCGAAGAGGTCCATGCACCGAAACAAGTACAAACATCTTGTTTTGAAGACTTTTTTCTATAAAATTTCTTTGATTAGCACAACATTGCTGACCTGGTTATTTAACTTTACCAACAACTTATGAATAATGAAGCTAAGTAGATATGGTTTTCTTCCTGATAGCTTACAGCCCAGGAATTCATTATTATTCATATTCCATCTGTAACTAAACCACATGAGTAGCATTTGAGTGCACTGAAAGTGCGATCGATGGCATTTAAAGTTGAAGTGCATTGAGAAAATAGGTATTATATTGCTACCATCATCAATAATATTATTCGGTTTCCTGGACGAGTGCTGTTATGTACTCTGATGAGTCATTCGTCACCAGAGTACATAACAACACACATGCAGGAAACCGAATAATATTATTGATGATGGTAGCAATATAATACCTATTTTCTCAATGCACTTCAACTTTTAATGCCATCAATCGCACTTTCAGTGCACTCAAATGCTACTCATGTGGTTTAGTTGCAGATGGAATACGAATGATAGCGAATTCTTCAGATACAGACTATCAGGATAAGCAGACAAATTTCAAGCTTAATGTCAAGACTGAGGGGAAATTCGCTACTTCACAACCAGCTAGGGAAAGTCAAATGGTATAGTGTAGAGTAGTAGATTTCTATGCATAAACCGATGTCATTTGCTGGAGTCTAGTAAACTGATCCCGTACGTCTATTCTATCCTTTTTGGATTATGATTTAACGACTTTGTGTGGAACGTAAGAACCACAACTTATTAACGTAACGAAATTTGAGGCATTGAAATGAAAACTAATTAAAAACCAAGTATAACTTTTCTACCAACTACAATTTACATGTCCATTTTTCGACAGCACTCTGGAGGTTAGTAGTATTACGTCGCCACTCAAACATAACTAGGTTTAGCGTGGTTTGAATCTGTAACCAAACGGTTGAAAGTTGCATGGTTTAATTACTAGTTTATCACGATAGATGAGATTCTCACATGCTTACACATATTGGTGATGAAAATAAATCCAGAAACGTTATTTAGCAAATGAGGGTTGATATTTGTACAATTATTTTCTTCGTACTCAGGTACATTTTAGAGTTCAAGTGTAAACTTGATTGATATGCCTCTAGCATTTTACATCAAGCAAGTTTAAATGAAACAAATAATCAAGAAGTACCAAGTGTACAGCTTACATGTATGTACCGAGAAATGAAACAAATTTTATTCCTCTAAATCTTTTCTGTCTAACCGATGATGTCTAAATTCAATGTGGACGTTACACTCATTGTTATAACGTGCCAAATCTGGGAACGTTTTGTAGGACCAAAGGATTATATCCATTAATACTGTTTTTGTAATAATGCTACATATGTCAGCTTGAGATTACAAAGATGTTAGCATACATGAAGTAAATGTATTTATTATGTCACGAGATCATAGAAAAACTGTCTAATGTCATTTAATTTACATAGAATGTCTAGAAACTAAAGGTATCCTCGCATTAAACTGCTGGATTTATAATTGTTAGTCATTTAAAAATTTAATTAATTCAGCGTAGGTGTCCGACTCGTAAGTGACTGGTCCCCTCCTTACATAGCCATTCATTTTTATAATCAAGCTAGCAAGTTTAGCTGGTTAACTTAGTTCTACAACATCACACCTGAATGTCAAACATTTTAATCTCTAATTAGATGGGCAATAATCAGACCTAATAGTCACATACTTCTCAATCTTCAGAATCGTTTCCATATTACTGTTTAGCACAAAATACAATCAAGATGTTTGAGTGCAACAGTAACCTTGGTAGAATTAAAAAGTAAAAACTGATCAAATATACATAGAAAATAAACACCGATACAGGAACATGTGACCAAAGAAGTAGCAGCACCGCTTAATATAGACTTTTATTTTTACTGAGAACATGGTAGGCAACCAAAAATTAGAAGCTAACAAAAATAAGGAAATACAGACAGAATAACTTCCAAAGGAAAAATAGCTAATATATTTGTTCTTCGATTTCTTCTCTAAAAGGGACGTGAGATTTGAAGCTGTACAATAATTTTCATATATGGTTAAAATCTTCTTTGGTGATGAGTACGGTTGAAACGTGGACCAGACACTTTTAATGAATTAATGCCGATTCTTCTATAAGCATTCCTATTTATCACCGGAGATAAAGCGCGAAACCGTCTGTTGTGAAGATTTATTCGTTCACGTTCAAATCGGCGGAAAGATGAATTAGGATTATTTAGTGGTACTGGAGAATGGTGAGTACGTCTTTTTGGCTGATTTGATGAAACAGATGATTTATTGTGCTTTCCAGAGGTGAAATCTCGGGCACTCCTCTCTGGGGATTTGTAATGACGCTGACAAGGATGATATTTAGAAGCTGAGTTAGATGACCGATTAGGATGATGACGATATTGTTCATTACGAGAATTTCTTAATGAAGGTGATCTGGAAATGGATGAGGGATATTGTGACCCATGATTCCGATGACTTTCTGGTGAATGGGAAAATCTTGAAGTATTTGGATTGGAGGGGTGTTGGTCTTCTTAAAGTAAAAACAACAAAAGCACTGATAGGTTTAAAACTATTACACTTCCATTAAACACAATTGACCATTACATACAAAGGTCATGTGTGGCCTTTTTAAAACTTTTGGATGAGAAAATAACTATATATTTACTGATTTTTGCTAGTAATCAAATCTAATCCGACAAACCAAAGTTCGTTTTGCGTTTCGACAATTCCAAGATACATCAATAAAGTATAGTATAACTCAGTAGTCCGTGATTGTGCTGGTGTAAATTTATACTTTTAATGTCGAATCAACCATGTTATGATAAATCCTAAGTGTAAAAACATTACATCCAAATCATATTATATACAAACCGCCATTGTCCTCTAGTATTACAAAAAGCACAATAGAAATGACTGTCAAACTGTGTCCGTCTCGCTATACACAAAATGGTATTTTGCCATTTTTATAGTCTGCTTGAACGGATGAGTCTGGAAAAGCTACTCAGCTTCTGTGCAACAGTAAGTACCATCTGATGGCTGTCCGATTGAGCATATGATGAACGGGTATTATGACGTAACTATGATCGTAAGAAATGCTATCAGTGACGTTTCCTAAACATGGTTACTTCAAAATGACATCGGATGCTGAACGAACAATAACAATTCTTACAAGAAAATAATATTTGTAGCTAAATTGCCATATTTGCTCCAACAAGAGTTGAAATAAGTGTAATATAAGCTGTCACAATCATCTATGTCATAAAACTAAATAATATTCTGCAGACAGTATATTACATACTACAGAAAATAGAATATTCAATACTATGAGAATGATCAAACACATGACACTCATATTTTAGTGAGTTCGTATTGTGGTGAACAGAACACGAGAGGGGACAATCGAATGTACTTAATAGAAAATTACAGGACTTGTTAATAAAATCTAACAATCATCAAGTAAATGCTTAATTTGCAAAATGTCCATCGATTGTCTCAAAATGACTCAGACTTTATTGTTCTTGCATTTTCATACTAATTGCATCTTGTTTCCATTCTTTACTTTTCGATCCTCTTGTCTCTCTGCTGCCAGACCTTCTGTTCCTGACTAACACCATATACTACTTATGTCAATATAAGTAGCACACACCACAGTATTTGTAACATCGTGAAACCCTACGACTACACCCTTGTGTATGTATCCTTATAACACACGTATCCCAGTATGTTGTATGAATTAAAATTTAGGCTACAAGGTGGAGAAGTATTAATATGAAGACTGGTCATATAACCAACCTACTGAAAGAACACAGAATGGTGGACTAGCAGATACACAGTAATGACATTCAGTTTCGTTAAACAAACTAAATATCATATAACGTTTAACATCATACGTTTCGAGTAACTACAGCGGAAACGTAATATGGAAATTTAGCTAAGTTCATAAATATGAAGGAAAAAAATTACTAATATGTATGAGTTACTGTCATTTAATATCTGCTTATTTGAAATTCATACAATCAGGGACCAAAAAGTGTGTTATTGAAAATATGGGGTTAAGAAAACCATATAAATAAATTGAATTCAAACAAGTTTGTTTACAAAATTAAGGATACGCTGATCTAATCTGATTTAAAATGTTTCTTGTGGCAAGACCCTTATTCCATTGTTTAGAATATTCATGTCAGTCATAATAAACATACAATATAAGACAAACATGCGCCAGCCGAAGTCGCTATACTGAGTTTGATAAGAGAAAATCAACTCAGCAAGATAAAAACCAGAAGTCCAAATAATAGCAATATCAATAATGGTGACGAAGATTAAGTATTGAGAATATATTTCGAAAAGAAACGATTGAATAAAACGAATAAAAATAAATTACTATGAAGCTCAAGGCATTGAGACCGCTTACAAATCACGTTGTCTTATGTCCTCAACTACTGACCAACCAGGTAATCAGTATCTGCCTAGATATCTCAATCCAACAGTCAATGACCACATGAATTGATGCCATATTTCGGTTTGGCAGCTCCTAAACATATTTCAATATATTTCTACACAAACCATCATCGCGCCTTGTGGTAGGCGGTTTTTGGACTTACTTAGTACGTGTCTTCAACACCTTAGTCGATGGAGATTTCCAGTTGCATCAACCGACTTGTCACTTTCACATAACTTCAGTAATCTCATGCTCAGTGGCCCCAACATACGAGAGGAATGATTCGACGGCGTCTATGGTCGAATACCAGTAACCTACGTTTCAAAGATATGAGGCAGAAAAGAACGAGTTTCTGAGAAGTACACGCGTCCTCTAGTTGGAGCACGGATGCATCGCCAACGCCACAAGTATAGTAGGTTTGTAGGAACCAACCGGGTTTCCTGATTCCATGCTGAGGTTTCGTCAGCAAATAATCCATCAAGGGTGATGAGATTTCCAATGCAAGTGATAAACGCGCTTCGCTACTTCCCCTCTTATCATCAGTCAAGGGAATAACGGAGGATAGACTTGAAACAACACTTTTCTTTTAAAGAAAAGTGCATCATTGAATTGTTACTTGAGGCATCCTGAAGACTCAGCATTTTGTTAGGGTTTTCAACAAAAAGACCTTTTTAGGATGAGGTTGTGGAGATTGTTGTATTTCATTGAAATCGTGAACCGACCTAAGTTAGTCTACTATTAAAAACCCGGAAAACTAAATAGCCGTTTTGTCTTAGTATAGGACTTCAGCGGTGCGAATCCACAACACCACAAAGAATCGAACATAAGACCTTCGGTCGCGGGCGCCTAATCTTTATTAGTTATGTATTCTACTTTCATGTATGAATCTTCTGACAGGAAACCAATCAATCCAAACTCAGACAGAGTCGTTATCTCTAAAGTTAATAAAAAGTTAAATAACAAATATAAGTAGAGGTCGTTAAATCCAATGGCAGTTATTAGCCCTAACATGATCACTGAATTTCGATTAAAGAACCTTCAGAAAGTTTAGATATTCTTATAGTATACCCTTTTCACAAGCAATGACACGGAACCGATCGATTAACAGAATTTAACACAACCTTTATGTCAAGGATTGCAACAATCATCGGGCGTCGACAAAATTAGGGGTGAAATCGATTATTATAGTTGATGGTTTAAAACCAGTATTTTGGCAATGAGGACAGTCAACCTATAAAGATGGTGAAAACTTTGCTTTTTCAAACGTTCCACTTTCCTCCATTATTCTAGTTAAGTCAAACATCCCAATATGCTTCACTTGAATTGTACTAAACAAAACTTGTTTGATACTCTATAAAGATGCCTACGTGCCTTTACTCACACACAAACTGTCAAATTTCTGGGACAGTCTAAACAAACATTGCTTAGGAGAAACTTAATCCGAATTTTTCTGGAAGTAAAGAACTCGTGAAGATTTTGGGACCTTTGATTTGTAAAGTAGTTGAAACATATACGTTACTCATAATCATAGCTTATGTAACTTTTATAATATTAACTTATGATATACTATTGTTTTTTATCGGGTTATTTCTATTCCATTTCTTTTAGTCCATTAAAAATTCTCATGATGAATCCATTTTTATATTGTTTATATTTACATAATTACACTTTTGATCCCAATATTCTTAAACAGAGGGAAACACAATACAAACAGATTTTCATTAGTTCAGTGATGTTTTCTAAGATCCACAAAGCCGCGAAATATGAATAGACGAAATACTTATGCTCATATGAAAAACACTAACGACCTTAAGCACTTTGATTATCATTATTTGAACACAAACGTTGCTACAAAGGGGTATCAAAAGGTATATGTGCCATACAGTAAAAATGAAGTTGTGAAGAGATAGAGAAAGGAAGGTATAATATTCTAAAACATGGATAAAAATTAGTTTCTGAGTGTAATAATAATAATAATAGGAAGAAGAAGAAGAAGAAGAAGAAGAAGAAGAAGAAGAAGAAGAAGAAGAAGAAGAAGAAGAAGAGAAACAGTTCGGTTAAGAAAAATACGACCAGAAAGAATTCTTTCAGTTAGAGTTACATCCAGTTTTGTGAAGAAAGTAACAGCAAGATCGCCACTGGCTTCTATTCTGAGCCATGTCTGATAACGTCTCTAGCCACTGTGTCGCACCATCTCAAGGGTCCTAACTAGGGAGTCGTGAAGGTTCAACACGAGTCAGCCCAGAACACCATCAGTAATTACCATGGAATATTCACATACTCAACGTTGAAAAGTTTTTCCTCTAAGAACAAATTTGGACCTTCACCATAACATATCTTCTTAAGGGATGTTTTCTTGGCATAATACTCAGTTGTAATGCTATATGCAATCAATCTGTCTAAATCAATCCATACACAGGAACACCTAAGGTTAGACCAGTACTTTAGAAGTAGTGGGAGAGTTGAAGTCATTGACACTGTCAGTAGACTATTGTGTTACGATCTACCGCAATAATCTATAACAGAATTTGTTTAAGCATTTGACCTAGCTTCACATGAACTACTATCGATGGGATATCAGCTAACTAGTTCTGTTTCGACTCTAGAGCACAATCTAACACGGTCATTGGCACAGAGTAGCCAGATTAGCACATAATATTAGTTTTCAGATCAACACATGGAAAAGAAGTTTCGTTGGAATCTCAAATACGGGTCTTCGAGAGGCAAACGGCCCCCGAATGCCCCGGGACGGCCGAGAGTGGGGAGAGTCCGCTCTCCCTCTCGAAATACTCTCACATGGCCACGCGCATACAGCCTCTGCCAGGGAAGTTCTACTCACTACCTTCTCGTGACGAGGGTGTTGTTTACGAAATTGAGAGGACGAAAAGCGAATGTCCGTCGCTTTAACCGGATTCCAAACCAATGGTGCACATGGGCTCCAGTATCCTGCGGGAACAAATGGCGTATGAACCAATCGTTGGTCACCGGCTACCATGGGACTGCATCTCCTTACGATGCTCCACTGCCTTGTGGGTTAGACCTTTAGGTCAAAGGCTCGGGGTGTGGCCCCCTAAGATAACCACCTGCTTCGGTTTGGGCACCCGGGCAGTATCACAGCCCACACACAAATGATGAACTCTTTATGTCTACGGAAATTACTTTTCTCGCTTCGAAAAACAATCAATTGATTCAAATTATTATCATTACAATTATTGTCCTACGTTGTAGCTGACTGACTGAATACTATTATTATTATTACTATTATTGTCATTATTATTATTATTATTATTATTATTATTATTATTATCCACATTATTCACCCTCTTTTATACTTATACAGCGGCTCGTCTTTGGTGGAAATTCGGCTCTATCTGAACGTTCTCGAGTCACTGTCCGGTTGAAAATTGTATGTTACCACTGAATACGAATACTGAACTAGTTTTTCTGAAACCACGTGCATCATTCAAATTGGCTGCCTTAAACGTTCGCACATTTATGCAGGTTGGACAACAAATAGGGCTGGCTATGTTTTTAGAAAGTCTTAATTTCGATGTTTGTTGTCTATCTGAGACCCGTATTCAAGACTCTGGCGAAGTACTACAAATTCGATCTCCATCTGTCGCTTCGAAAAGCTTGTTTTACGTGCGCTTATCCGGGGACCCTGTAGCATCTTCGACTGGTCTCGCTGGCGTTGGTATCGCACTGAGCGCTAGAGTTGAGGCAGCACTAGTCGATTGGATCCCCATCAACAGTCGGCAATGTGCTGTTAGATTAGAAAGCTCCATAAAAGTGAGAAGAAATCGGCGTGAGAAACGATGTCTTTTCGTCATCTCCGCCTATGCCCCGACAGATTGCAGCCCGGATGCAACCAAGGATGAGATTAACCACCAGTTATCTGTTCTTCTCCAGAAAGTGCGTTCGACAGATATTGTGGTACTAGCCGGAGACTTGAATGCTCAGGTCGGGCGTCTAGGCACAGAAGAGAGTCGTTCAGGTGGCCGATGGGGACTCGTTGGTCGCAGGACCGATAACGGGGACCGTCTAATGCAACTGTGCACAAACTACAACCTGTTTCTGGCTAGCACTAACTTTCGGCGCAGTCATCGCCGATGTGCCACCTGGCGTCCTCCCTCTGCATCTCAAGCCTGGACTCAGATTGATCACATCGCGATCAGCTACCACTGGCGTGGTTGTGTACAAGACTGCCGCTCCTTTTGGAGTACTTATCTGGACTGTGACCATGCCTTGGTCTGTGCCAATCTTGCCTTACTTTTCAGTGGATAACGAAGTGACCGCCATCAACGGATTGATATTAGCAAGCTGGTTGCAACTTCTGTTGCAAGTAAGTATCGAACCGAGTTAGCCTCTAGGGTAGCTACCACTCCACCGAAAAGTATAGATGAGCATTGGTTGCAATTGCATGACGCCATGAAAATGGCGGGAACAGTAAGTTGTGGGTTCGCGAAACGACCCGCTTATAAGCACTGGGTTTCTTCAGGTTCCTTACAACTCATTGAAGCCCGTCGGTCTACTCCGAGTGACCGTGAGTTTGACCATAAACGAAGGATGTTACGTAAGGAAATTGGGCAAAGCTTGCGTAAGGACCGAGAAGCCTGGTGGTCGAAGCGTGCTAATGAGCTGGAAGCAGCAGCTGCATCTGGTAACTACCAGAAGCTCTTCCAACTCATCCGAGCCACTGGCAGCAAGAAGTCTGGTGTGAGTGAAACAATCTGTGAGGATGATGTTATGCCAATCACTAACATCCATCGACGTCTTGGACGATGGGCAGAATTTTTCGAAGGGCAGTTCAATTGGCCTGCTGCTCCGGCAACATCGATCAGACTGTCCTGCCCTCCATGGTCGGTGACGACTGATCCACCAAATGAGGCGGAAGTCCGCAAGGAACTCCAACTCTTGAAGCGTTACAAATCACCTGGCACAGATGATTTACCTCCGGCTCTTTTTAAAGATGGTGGTGACTTTTCGACTAAGGAATTGATGACGTTGTTTACAAAGGTTTGGGAACTAGAGAGTGTAACAACGTCATGGAATGAGTCGATAGTTGGCCCTATCTTTAAAAAGGGTTCACGTCGTTCCTGTAACAACTATCGTAGGATAAGTCTACTTCAGATTGCGTCCAAGCTATTGGCTTCCGTCATACATCGTAGGTTGTTCAAAACCCGAGAAAGATTGACTCGCGAGGAGCAGGCTGGGTTTCGTTCTGGTCGAGGATGTATTGATCATATCTTTGCCCTCCGCCAAATGTTAGAACACCGCCATACTTATCAAAGGCCAACAATCGTACTGTTTCTTGACATCAGGGCTGCCTTCGATTCGTTGGACAGGACTGTTCTCTGGGATTGTCTATTGAAGAAGGGATTGCCTGAGAAGTTTATTAACATCCTAAAAGCCCTGTATACAAACACCTCAGGCAGAGTGAGGGCATACAACCACCTCTCTCCATTGTTCCATTCGAGCAGTGGGGTTAGGCACGGTTGCCCAATCTCACCATTCCTCTTCAACTTTGCCGTCGATGACGTTCTGGAAACAGCTCTGATGAATGTAAGTAATGGTGGTGTGGATCTGTTGCTTGTAGAAAGACTTCTCGACCTTGAGTATGCGAACGATATTGTCTTACTGTGCGATAATACCCAAGCCATGCAATCCGCACTTAATCAGCTGACAATCAGTGTCCGTAAGTATGGGTATGTGCTTTGCACCTTCGAAGTGCAAAGTACTTCTACAAGACTGGCAGGATCGTAATCCTGTACTCACCCTGGATGGTGACCAGATAGAAGTAGTCGAGATGTTCGTGTATCTGGGTAGCTGCATAAGTGCTGGTGGTGGCGTTAGTGATGAGATCAATTCACGTATATTGAAAGCCAGAGCGGCTTATGCCAATCTGGGCCACTATTGGCACTTTCGTGATGTTAGTCTGACCGTAAAATGTCGGATCTACAACGCGTCGGTGAGAGCAGTTCTGCTCCATGCTTGTGAAATCTGGCCTCTCCGAGTTGAGGATGTTAGACGACTCTCCGTGTTCGATCATCGTTGTCTCCGAAAAATTGCTGACATCCAGTGACAACACCTTGTTAGTAATGCAGATGTTCGGCATCGTGTGTTCGGGCACAGAGATGATAATGCAATCGATGTCACCATCTTGAAACACCGACTTTGGTGGCTTGGACATGTTCTCCGAATGTCGTCCCAGAGAATTCCACGTCGGGCATTATTTGCCGACGCTGGGACTGGTTGGAAAAAGCGAAGAGGTGGTCAGTGCATGACATGGTGTCGTGGCATGAAAGAAAGCTGCAAAGGACTGGCTTGTGTTGGTCCTTCACGACTCCCTGGTTGGGGTCTGAGAGATGGTACTACACAGTGGCTAGAGACGTTATCAGATATGGCTCAGAATAGAAGCCAGTGGCGATCCTGCTGTAACCTTCTTTTACTTTCTTCATAAAAAGTGGTTGTGTCTCCCTTACCTGAAAGATTTCTTCTGATTGTACTTTTCCGTTCCCTCGTTACTACCACACTACCTTACACCAATCTCTTCGTTATTGTTTTCTTTTTCTTTTGCGCTCGTTAGTTTTTTTTCTATTTCTCTTCGAATTCTCATTGTTTTGTGTGGCGCATATATATTGGCGCTCTCTTGTACCAATATTCATGTGTTCAAATAAATAAATAAATAAAACGGTACTAACAGAGAGACTTTTTAGTTCTATAGTCTGCATCTAAGTGAGGATGTTGCAAAAAAGAAGTTTAGAAAGGATTAACGATATCATATCATATTAGTTACGCTAGATATATTGTTGGGTGATACGTTTCGAAAGCCAACCACTTTGTGGCATGGACATGTTTAAACAGTTCATAACATTTCACAAAGCGGACTGCTGAGTAAGATTAAGGCGATGAAAGAGTACACTACATAGAAATAAGATGACACAGACACACTTGTTGTTTGCAAGAATATTTTTATAGAACATATAATCAGTCAGTCAGTTATAACGTAGGACCAGGCACATATGTGCATCGGTCCAAGTTGCCATACATCATGAACACAACAAGATGGACACCGGATTCATAAAAGTAGTTAATTCAGAGGTGGTAATATACAAAAGAAAGATTGCAATAAGGATAAGGTACACAAAGAAACGCGACCGAAGCTGCTACCTTGACGCGGTGGTCGGGCTTACCTATCGTGATGACCCAATCGAGCTATATTGGCTGGAACATATGTTCCTGTAGGTTCTACCATGCCAGGCAGGTCGATTGGAGAACGGTAAGACTAAAAGCAGCAACTCACGGTCTGAGGGCGAAGTCGTACTGCTGACTGTAGAGAGGTGTGACAGCAGTAAGGTGTTTCCATCGGACAATCAGCACGACAGCGATGCTGCCTTCCCACAAGGAGGGGTGGGGTTAGAAAAGGTCGACCCTAAAAATGTCACACCTCACCTTACCTCACGGATTTCCGTCTCCGGCGGTAAGGCCCTTTGAAAAACGGAGCTAACACGTCAAAAACCTTCCACAAAAAGGCCGTGCGCGACCGGCCTCAAGCAGTTGTCCCTTGGGCTCTGCGGTCACGCTCCCAGGTCGTTAAGACCAACACTAATTCAATTTCGTTTTCAGGTTCCTCAAGAAATACCCTTCCACTGTGTGGGCAGCCGGGAAGTGACATCAGCCCTCATACCCGTAACAGCACACACAAAGAAAGAATTAGTTCTTAGAAAGAAAGATATGAAGCGATTTTAATCTCTTAGTTTAAGGGAAGACAGAGAGTGTATACACCTATGCCATCGTGATCGATTTTGAGCCATGTCACCAAGAGTCTCCAACCATTGGTTACGATAGTCACGCGGACCCCAACCAAGTAGTCTGCATCTACCAACATGGCTCAGACTAGAAGTCCGTGACTTCAAGCACTGATGCCACGTTTTGGTTTGGCCGCCCCTAACTTTCTTCCAACCATCCCCAACACCGGTTAGTATTGGGTGTCGTGGTAATCGGTGTTCAGACATACGTAACACGTGGTCCAACCATCTCAGTCGATGAAGATTCCCAACCTCATCAACTGATTTACCATCATTCCTTAATACCCTGCGCGTCTAACCTCAATATTACTTACCCGGTGATCTCAGCAGATGCGAGCATATAATACCCATTCTTTATTCGTGATAGTCATAAAGGTTGTGATACTGATCGATTGCCTTTGACATTAACGTTTGACACACAGAACAGTGAAGTAACATAGAGAGATATATTCTCATAGCAGTCAATAGCCAAATCGTTAACCATGATCATCAGGATCCAACTCCATAAGTACCCTCTTGTACTGAGTACGCAGTCTAGACATTAGTTATCCATCTTCAACCTATAGCTTATGTAGAAACATTTTGGCCATGTGATGAGTAGGGTTTCAGTAAAAGAGACGACAAACGCCACCCTGTCTGGTAATATTTCGAAAGAGGGAGTTGAATTTATCCACACTCGAGCTTAGCAAGGTATTTGAGTGAACTGTGAAATTTGAAGGCCCTATAAATATCATGTTACTGTACAGCTCGAACGTAAACAAACTAAATACTAAGCACTCCCTTGTCTTAAAGGACCCTTTATTTTATACAACTTAGTGATGTAAAATACTTTCATAGTAATAACTCGTCGGAAGCAGCACATCTAATACGCATTCATACTGCATGCACTTATCAGTAAACATACACACTACAAATGAGGAACCTATGTTTTTTTCAATCAGATTAAATTAACGTATTGACCAGGTACTTGGGTATGAGCCCAAACTGAAGTAGGAGCCTGTGTTAAATATAGTGCTTAATGACAAAACCTTAGCTTCATAATATGGTACAGGTTCACCTACAAAACCAATGCTAAAAGCCGGAAGAGACCGCAGAACAAAAGTACTTACCGTATCCGGGAGATGCTCGTAAAGTCAAATCCATAAAACCAGAACTAGAGTTCTTGGAACCATCTTTTTCATAATGTTGTGAACATCTACTCCATCTCCGCTGTTCAATATTTGGGTATGGTGAAATATTTTTTGAATTTTCAGAGATCGAAACGTTTGTGGACTCAATAACATGTAAATCTGAGGAAATTTTTGGAGTTTTACAACTGGTAGGTGATGGACGAGACCAACATCTTTTGCGTGTATGAGCTGCATAAGGTGAAGAATTGAACACCTCTGTGTCATCGTCATCGTCTACGTCATCAGCAACTTCACCCTCTTCTTGGTTTTCTATCCCTCCACCACAGGTTTCGGAGTGGTCTGACTCTGTTAAAGAATGGTCCGATCTAGAATGTGAATGACAACTTGTACAGAGTGACCGGCTGTTATTGCTACTAGTATGGGCAAATGAATCTTCTGGGTGAATCGGTATTTTTCTACAGAAACAAGGTATATCTACAATTATTACGTAAACAAAACTATAAGACGGCATGTATTTTGTACGTTACAACAAACTTGCTACTATTAAATTTAGAGAATCATAACAATCGAACCCAGGTTTCTGGCTTAATCATCGTTAAACACTGTTGTTAACTATTTTCTGCTGACTGCAAACTTATTTTTATTCTGATATACTTTGTTACTTTTGCATTTTCTTAGTGAGATAGTTCTTGAGATAAATATTCAACTGATGGTTGATATTTTCTGTCTTTTTATATCAGCGTTTTGTTTCCACTAGACAGAATCCAAGGTCTAATTACTGTTGTTGTTTGGTATTCGACTAAAAGGATTTAGGATATTAATACTAATCTACTTGGCAGTAACGAGAATACTTAAGATTAAAAGGTATTTGATTTTTTATGCAGAATAATTACTATGTGGTTTTAAGGGGAGTACAAACTGCAGATGATCCCCTCGAATGAAAATGAATATCACTTTTTTAATCAAAGTAACCTTTATCGTCTAAAACATTGAGTTCTATATTCGAACCTTGAAACTAATGGAGACAAGTACTTAATTCTGAAAGCATATGGTGGAATCTAAACAAAGAAACTAATTTACACAGATATTATTTTATATGATATTCAGTTTACTGAGACAGAAAAAATCTTGCTGAAAGTTAGATAGCCATTGTGTTCACAATAGGTCAATAAGTATAGATCTATTGTTTCACCAAAACATATTCTGGATTTTCTATAATTAACTTTATACGATACGAAATAGCCCTAAAAGATATAGATACAATGTGGAAATGGATGCAGTGTCACACCTGATCAATCGATGACTTTGTGTTTCAAGAACCAGAATTGTCACTGTTGGATATCCAGGCCTGGACTGCTATTAAAACAACTAATTGGTCAAGTATGAGCTTGTTTACTAGAATGATAAACAGATAAATGTCGATTGAAAGATAATTTCTCCTTGAACGTACTAACAATAAAGACAGTAAGAGCAAAGCTATTTACAGTATCTGAGTGGTCCTCCGTAAAACGTTTACAGGAAGCTACATAGACAGTTATTCACTCTTGCTTTATTTTAGATAAACCGTCGTAGCAAATACATTTCGAAAAAACATTTAAGAAAAACGGACCTTGTGAGAGGTGAAGCAGTTTTATCTTCAACACAGTCCTGATCATGAGAAATAGGTGGAGTAAGCCCCAAAACTTCTGGAATAACTAATTCGCCAATTTTGTTTTCTACAGAGGAGAATGAAGCGTTTTTTGACAAGAACTGATTTGAAGATTGATCAGACGGGTTGATAGAGTTTGTTACATGTTCATTAGAGTCATGGACGATTTCCTGAGCCGAATAATCTCTAAGGAGGTGAATATCACCAACAGTGTTTGATGAATCAGGAATTAAAGCATTAGGTGTAGAATTCTCATTAGAAGTTAACTGATCACTTTCTTTATCTGGTTTGTGACCTGAATCATTCGGTTCTCGAGAGGTTGACTCGACGATCATATTTGTACTATCACCTTTACAACGTAGACGTCTTGTGAACAGTGTACAGCTAGCTTCCCTAGTTCGTTTTTCGGGTTCGCTTGAGCAATCACCACTTTCCAAACGAGATATTTCAGTATGAGTTTGATAGTTACGGTGTAAGTGTTTTGAATATCGATCACGGTGGATAGAATTGGCTAGGGAAAAAAAACTTCGTGAAGATAAAATTTCAGAAAAATAGTCCAAACATAGTGTAAAAAAATATAGATGTGAGAGGAATTTTAGCACTAAAAGTAAAGTGAATAAGCAATAAGGGTGACAAATTTCTACACACGTGAATAAGCTTTGTTTACATAAAGTATTTTTCAGAAAGATATAGTCCATTTGAGAAGCCAGTTTAAAACTTCCTTAAATTCGCTACCAAGAGAACGAACGAACAGCACATTTATCTGGTCTTTCAGGCAGACCTGTGATAACGTACAAACATTTTTACTACTACCTGGATTTAAGGTTGAACAGGAAGAAAAAATACTGGTTGCATAGGTACAATTTAACAAAAGCTACGTAATAAACAATTTACCTGCATTATGTTGTCTGCGAACTGCATGGTGATCTCGAGATAATCGTATGGCGCCTTCTACAGCTTTCAGGAGATGATTTGGAACATGACCTCTGGAAGATGAATCTGGACCAGTACCTGAAAAGTAAAATGTTAGAATGCCACTATTTTATTAACCTACTACGAAAGTAAAGAAGGTACAATAATGTGCGCAAAAGTAGAAATGTATTCGTTTTACAGAGTAAGGTGATGATAAGAGTGCAGATAGGTAAGCGGCTATACAGTGACAGCAAACGATTCCTGACAGTAGAATTCAACATAAACAAACAAAGGCTAAAAATTTTTGCCATACTTCTTACACTTACGACCTGTTTATCGCATTTAGATATACAGATGAAATTCTAAATAGTTAGTTGGCAGTAGAATCACAAGGTATACTTCTATGTAGTTAATACCTGTATAAAAGCGATTGATCGAAAGATATTTTAAATGCATTTACATATTATCAGGTTTGATTAAGAACACGATGTAATAAGCTCACATTCTTATCATGGAAATATGTCAGTTATTATAATGAACGAGGTGTTTTAATTTCTGGATTACATACATACAATAGGTCTAAACAGACAGCAACGACAACAAACTACTCACCACTTGAATAATGATTACAACAAAACAGAATAATCAGGTGTTGTGGAGATTGTTGAGTTTTGATTGAGATCATGAATGGATCAATGTTGGACGAACATTGAAAACCTGGAGGCATTGAACGACCGTTTCGTCCTAGTATGGAACTCCTCGGTGGTGCTTTCAGGTTTTCAATAGTCGTCTAACATTGACCCATTCATGATCTCAATCAGAACAGAATAAATCAAAGAGGATTCGAAGTTAGCAGATTTTAGTATAGGTCATCACCTTAGGAGGAAAGACACCTTATAAACACCTTACAGGTGGTTACTATGGATAGGATTTGTCCTCCATGTAATCGTGGGTCAGACTTGAAAAAGAAACTAGAAGTGATTCCATTGACAAATATAGACAAAGTTATTTAGCTTTTATAAATAAAATAAGCTCCCTGATCTAGACATATTACCGTCATTTAATTCTGCTATTCGTTTAACTGTGATGCTACAAATTTAGTAAAGAATGAGAATTAAGCACAACAAGAGACTTCTTGTGTCCTTAACATCACATTTCAGGTTTGTAGAAGCTGCTAGGGGTTCCACACAGAAAATAACAAGAAATGCCAATTCTCTATGCTATCTCTCCATATGGTTTCAATAACCACAACTAAACAGCATTCTACTATCAATAAAACCGAGTCATTTATCAAAACGCCAGTCACTGTCTCCTCAATTTAAAATGTAAATATTCGTCTACTTAGCAGTCAATGGAGTCCACTCATTTACATGTTAATATTTCATAGCTTTTTGAGATAATGTATTTTTCTTTATAACTTTAGGTGTACAGAGGCTTAAAACTGCGAAAGTATGATCTCAGAAGACGAAACTAAATGAGAAATGATTATTTCTTTAATAAGACCTGTTTACAGCAACCAAAAATGAAAAGTGATGGCATAGAAACGAGGTGGATATTCCGATTTTGAGCATGTTCATTGAACGTATTATCTGTAGATTAACATCACAAGCAGTTTCCCTACCAGACGAGGGTAGTCATGCAATCAAAAGAGTAAGATAACTATGATAGTGATTTGTCGGAACTCAAATCCACAAGCACAATAAACCATTGATGTAATGGAGAAAACTCAAGTAAAGAAGAAAACGTTGTGGCTCAGTGAACTAAAACACGCAACATTGTGACAAAATTAATAACACTTATAAACTACTTAAACATTGGTAAGTGCAGTTAAATTCAACCATGTAATTTACGAGAGAGAGAGAGAGAGAGAGAAATGATTGCATTTTTACAACTCTATCAAAATAAAAAAGAACATACTTAAGAGTGAATTTTAGATGTGCTTTAGATAATACAGCCTTAAAACGACCTAAGGAGAATATTAATCTTATTTTATTTTTTATCAGCAAGTATTTACCAGCATAAATAATTAAGGCATTGACACCAATTTTTTTATACATGTAACTGAGTACCCATGTATAGGTGTGCATATGAAGATATGAACGTTGGCTTTTGATTTAGTTCTTATATTGAAATTAGACCCAAATAAGATAAGTTTTAAACTTGTAACCGAATCAACAAACCACCCAAACATTTAATTTATCAAACAAGTGTCGTTTATATAACTACTCCTAAAATGATTATTAAAGTTAAGATAAAATGAAATTGATTTTATTCATAATTATCTAAAAAACTTTTTTCTCTATGACAAAACTCGTATCGTGAATTGCATTTTATTGAGACTCTGCATTAAACTTATGTTCAGCTTATGAAATACGCTACATACGATATTCCATGATGATCTTAGGCTGCTAGTGTTCACAGTGAGCATAAGAGTATTTAAATTTATACTAAAAACTTACAAGATTCATTAGTCTTACTTTGAGTGAGTCTAGGTAAGGAAGGAGAAACATGTTGAACCATTCTAAAGTCCTTTGAAGTAGAACTTCGAACAGAAGGGTGTTTGTTTATACTATTGTTTAGAGGCGATGAAAATTTTCTGACTCCTCGCATTGATAAAATTCTGCTTTCTGATGATGTGTCTGTTTTTCTTCCTGGATTACTTGCAACTTCATCATCTTTTTGTTTCCTTTGATGAAAGCAATGAGATTTAGAAAAGAACTGCCCATGAATTGTTTTAGTATATTTGCGCCTACATTCGTCAGCAATAGGAAGTTGTTTATCTGCATTATAAGCTGGTATACTTTTATCTCCGGATTTCTTATTAGAGCGATTTAGCCGTTTATTGACACGTGAACTTCCAGATAAAGCACTATTTTGCTTGAGTTCACAGGATTTCTCATACACTCCATGTTTAATTGAGTCACGGCATCCACAATTCTCTAGATTCTTTCCACCCACATCAACTACAGATAGTGAATGTGATAGTAACGATTTACCATCTACAGATGGGTCTAGAAAGCTATGTGAGAGTCCATTATTCATTAAACCAGTTTGAGACGTAGGTTGGTCCTGACTAGTAGAACTGGAAGATGACGTAGATGATGATGATGAGCTTGAAGACACTGAACGTGATGACTGTGAACCGAAAGAAGACCCAGATGAATGTGAATTATATTTTTTAACATGTTCAGTCTGTGTAACTGCATCGCACTTTGAAACAACATTAAGATTCCTATTCGGCATATTGTTACCAGAGTATATATTGATAGGTGGACGATCAGAATGTAAATATGCTACTAGATCCGTGTAGTAATTCTGCTTCTCGGGGTTTATTTGGGTATCACAATTCAAATTCTTTTGGCTAACAGCTTTTGGCTCCGGAACCCTATATCTAGGATCAAAGTTTTACATTGCACAAACGAAAATATGAATTACGACATTTGAGAAGTATGGAGATTAGGAAACGACTGTCCAACTTTACATAATTTAGACAGCAAAATAGGAAAAATGTTAACTGTTTATGGTGATGCGGCTAAAACCACTTAAAGTTAGGCAGAGTCAAAAGCAGGAAGGAAGTGATACTTGATATTTTGAACTTTGGTTCACCCAAGCGGCCGGAGAATATGTTGAATACGTTGAGTGACCTTCAACTCTAGAACGATGCTAGTTCAAGTCATCGTGTTGCAGAAATTATGTTAGTGGATAGACCTAAACATTGAATCAATCCAGAAAGTTACTTAATTTTAGTTTAGGCTGTGTAGACAAGTGTCAAATTTCTGGGTGAAACCTTTCATAACTCAGTACTTAATGTATGAAGACCGTAAGTAACACGGCTCGAAATCAATTAGAACAGTGAGAATGTATTTATTAACTTTTCAATATACATGGAAATCACTCATTTTATGGCTTTTATTCTATTGTGAATTTCCTTTTTCTGTTCTATAATAAAGTGAATCAGATTGAATTCCTATACTATAGTATAAACTCCTACAGTATGTAGTTTGTAGCTTTATGCAGATGGGAAAACATTTGAGTTAGACCATGGAACTCCAGAATTATTGTGAAAGTGAGAGACTGACAGAACATCATCTTGCATTGTACCTCTTTGAAGTGATAAATTTTGTTGAGGGTAGTGAGGTTTGTTCAGACCCTTCCATTAATGTCTTTATTGTTCTAAATTTAATTCAGTATTCCGACCGTAGTATTTATCTGACTAGCCAAGTTCGTAAATGCCTGAAGCTCTTCTAGGGTTACTGCTGGTCCTAAGGTCCTGGGTATGGGGTCAGTAACCCCATCCTGTAGAAAAAAGCTTGCAAAAAACGTTAACTAGAGTAACCGAAGCAAATAATTCAAACTCTGCCCTCTGAAATGAAGGAAATATGGTGCCTCATGATGGAAGCCGATATTCTTAGGAAGTCACGTGGTTGATGCCTCTTCCAACAACCAGAGCAATAAATAATTTAGGTACGTGGGATGTGAGAGGCCAGGAGGATCAGTCAAATAGCTGTAGAAATTAGGATATACAACTTGACGGTGCTCGGAATCAGCGAAACCCAATGGACCCAAGCTGGATAGAAGAGGTTAAATTCAAGAGAAATGCTGCTGTACTTTGATCAAGAAGAAAATGTTTCGCACACTCAATGAGTTGCTCTGATGCTATACAAAAAAGCACGTAAAGCACTTATAGGACGGGGATCTCGTGGATCCAGGATCATCAAAGCACCTTTCAAAACAAAGGAGGGGATCACAGTGAATGTTACCCAGTGTTATGCACCCACCAATAATAGCAGTGAAGATGATAAATATCAGTTTTACGAGGGGCTGCAATAAATAACAGCGAAGTGCTCAGGAAACGACCTGACCACCCTGATGGGAGACTTAAATGCCAAAGTCGGAATGAAGAACAGTGAGTATGAACATAGCATGGGACGACATGGACTGACTGAGAGAAAGGAACTATAACGGTGACAGATTTGCAAATTTATGTACATTCAACAAAATGGTTATAGGTGGCACAATATTCCCGCACAAATGCATACACAAAGCTACATGGGTCTCACCAGATCACACTACAGACAATCAGATTGAAATACTGGCCAACTCAACGAATTCAAGATAACTCTCAACAACAGGTTCCAAGCACTACAAGGTCTATTCAAAGAAGAAGAGTCAAAGAAGCACTAACTTCAACGTATCAGAAAGTTCTGCGACGCAAAAAGCACCAACATAAGAAATGAATCTCTACCGAAACACTAAGCAAGTTTCAAAAAAGGAAGAACAAGAACAGAGCAACTAACGACAGCAGTACAACAACAGAGAAAGGCAAGACACAAAACTGAATACACAGAAGAAAACAATCAAGTGAAAAGGAGCATTAGAGCCGACAAGCAGAAATACGTGGAATAAGTAGCAAAGATGGTGGAAAAAGCCGAAAGAGAAGGAAATATGAAAAAACTACATGATACAACGAAGAAACCAGCAGGAAGATATAGTAAACTAGAGAGACCTGTCAAAGACAACGAAGGCAAGACAACCACCGAGATTCAAGAACAGCGTAACAGATGGGTAGAATATTCCGAGGAACTGTTGAATAGACCAGCTCCATTGAATCCACCGGACATCGAAGCAGTACACACAGACCTTCCCATAGATGTCACTCCATCAACGATCGAAGAGATCTGGATGACCATCAGACAAATCAAGAGTGAGAAAGCAGCAGGATCTGACAATATACCAGCTGAAGCACTGAAGTCAGACATAAGAGTAACTGCAAACATGCTTCACCTTTTATTCACAAAGATTTGGGGGGAGGAATAAGTGCCACCGACTGACTGGGAAGAAAGATATCTGGTCAATGTACAGAAGAAAGGAGATTTGAGCAAATATGAAAACTATCAAGGCATTACACTACTGTTGGTACCAGGAAAAGTTTTCAGTGTTGCTGACCCGGATGAAAGATTCAGTAGATGCCCAACTTCGAGATCAATACGCCGGATTCCATAAGGATCGGTCGTGCACAGACCAAATCACGACACTACGGATCATCATTGAACAACCAACTGAGTGAAACTCGTCACTATACATCAACTCCCTTGATTATGAGGAAGCCTTTGACAGTGTAGATAGGAGGACCTTGTGGGATCTTCTTTGACACTATGGCGTACCTGAGAAAATCGCCATCATCATCCGGAATTCATACGACGGAGTGCAGTGCAAAGTCGTGCATGGAGGACAGCTGACAAACGTATTCCAGGTGACGACCGGAGTCAGACAAGGCTGTTTTTTCTCCCTCTTTCTCTTTCTTATGGTGGTTGGATGGATTATGAAGACCTCTACATCTGAAAGGAAACACAGAATACAACGGATAGCTTGGGTGCAATTAGACGATTTGGACTTTGCAGATGACCTGGCTCTTCTATCCCGTACACAGCAACAAATGCAAATGAAGAAAGCCAGTGTAGCAGAAGTCTCTGCATCAGTAGGCTTCAACATACACAAGAGAAAAAGCAAGGTCCTCAAATACAACACAGGGAACACCAACATTACCACACTTGGTAGAGAAACTCAGGAAGGGGTGAAAACTCTTACGTGCCCGTGCAGCATCATCGTTGAACAGGGAGGATCTGATGCAGACTTAAAGGCAAAGATTGTCAGAGTAATGGCTGCATTCTTACAGTTGAAGAACATATGAAAATCAAAACGACTATCAACCAATATCAAAGTTACGGTCTTCAATACGAACGTCAAGACAGTTCTACTGTACGGAACTAAAACTTAAAGAACTACTACAATCATCATCAAAAATGTACATGTATTTATGAACAATCGTCTAAACAAGATACTCAATGTCTGTTGGTCGGATATCAGCTGCAACAGCCTACTGTATGAGAGATCAGCTTATGGGATGGAATATCTTTAATGGGTGAAAGCTACAATATTGACTTGATTAGAAACCTAAATTTACGATAGCATGATGTACTTCTGTACCAAATAAGTGGTCTTGGATGTCCTTTTAAACTGAATGATGCTGTTTGGAAAAGACAGTCAGACCAAGTCTTCCTCATATATTTCCCTTGCATAGAGATACATTTTTATAAAGGTATTTACTTTATTGCTCATCTGAGTCATTATTAGCTGGAACTATAAATCAGAACATTAACATTGTCCGAAGTTATTTTTTCGTACAATTTAGCTTTTATAGAATTTGTGGGTAGCTAAAATGTATTATGTTCAACCAACAGATTGCCTCCCAATGTTCCCAGTCGAATTAAAAGTACTCTGCGATTATACCAATAACCTGCGTATGAACTATTGCATGAAATGGTATATTTACGATGATCAGCAAACCATGGGGAATAAAATGTTTATCTTTCTCAGTTATATTGCTTTCTAGTACAAATGATGATTACTTGTCCACCAAGAACACATTACTATATCATTTAGCTTTGGTAGCAATGGTGCATTTCTTAATATTCAAATGCATCTACGAATGGTTGGTAGCATAATTATTTGTCCCCAAATGCCCTGAGACGGTCGAGAGTGGGGAGAGTCCGCTCTCACACTCGAGATACTCTCACATGGCTACGTGTATACAGACACTCTCAGGGAAGTCCTACCCACTGCCTTCTTGTGGCATTACTGTGATTTACGAAATTGAACGGACAAAAAGCGAATGTCCGGCTCTTTAACCGGGTTGGTGGTCACAGAAGGTCCACCTAGGGGAGTTGGAAAAACCTGATTCCTAACCAATGGTGCAGATGAGCGCCAGGATCCCGAGGGAAAAAGTGGAGTATGAACCTATTGTTGATCACTGGCTACCATGGGACTGCATCTCCTAATGTTGCTCCACTGCCTTGTGGATTAGACCTTCAGGTCAAAGGGTCGGTGTGGGGCCTCAAAAGATAACCACCTGCTTCGATTCGCGCACCCGAGCAGTGTCACAGCCCTCACACGAATCAGTGATAACTACTACTGGTCTCATTGTTATTGTGTGGCGCATATGTATTCGGTGCCTCCTTGTACCAATGTTTATGTGATCAAATAATAATAATTATATCAGATCATGCCAGTTTCCTTATTTTTGACTGTTTTCATCATAGACGACAGGCTTAGAGAATATAAATAACAACTATCGCAATACTCTATCTTATGACTGTTCAACAAAAAGTTGACAAATACATCTATAAAGGCCCAGCACCAATTAATTGCTACAATCTACCTTTTGGGTAAAAATTGTCTTGAAAAAATGTTGGGGCGGGTGCATTCATCAACATAAAATGTAGCATTCAAATAAACACTTATTAAAAATGTTTAAGTGAGGTAAAAACAGGACTGCTAAATCGACCATTAATATATTGACAAACTGAAATGAGTTGCAGGTATCTTATACATAACATGATAATTGGCTTAACAAAGAAGACTCCAAATCGAGTTTTTAAAACATTAAACTACAATACTGTCTACCTAAGAAACCAAACAGCATATGATTACCGTCATAAGGGATAGGAGTCTGTTTATTATTTGAAGTTCTAAATCGAACGGATACTCAGAAACCTATTATTTACAGTTGTCTGAATATTTCATCATTTCTGTAAGTAACCAAATTTTACACTTGAATTAAATTAAAGAGGCAATCTTGTTCAGTCCTTATGATTTCTGTTAAATTGAGTACAATCACCGAGTAGTCATCGTTCGCTAACATTGTATCATTTTGCATCGATTGATCAATCTCTATCCTTCATTTTAGGATGACGCATGCTCACAACCACAACTGTGAATGCAGTAATTGTATATTAGCATCACTAAAACAGGCATGAGTAACGTAGAACTTGTTGTGACTAATACAACGCTGCGTCAGCGCAGAGAAAGCAAAAAGAAAACAGTACTAAGAGTAATAATTATAATGTAGAGATAACAGAGAATATAGTGTTGACTAATCGGGAAAATTATTGGATTAAAGGCATCGGATACACTTCACAGGTTCAATTTTCGTCATGTAGTATTTACAGTAACGTGTGGTGATATCACGGATGAAGTTATACTGACGTATATCTTAAGAGGATGTAACCTTCCGCCACGTGGCTAGGCGAGGTAGCCGCCGTCACAACACATATGAGTTCCAAACATGTAACAGCTAATGTCGATTTCAGTCAACTGAAATACCACTCATGCTTGGCTAAAAGCATACTGTTAACTACACAGTAAAGCACTCAACCTAAAAACCCTATTTAAAATAGGATAGATAGCATATCGGGTAAGTTCCAAGGAAAGTCTTAGTAATAGGTGATTTTCTCATATTTGAGGAACGTCTCTTATGATTTCATTTTGACAACCAACAATTTCCTTTCAACACTAAGCTAATTGACTTGATGACCGCTGATACAAAGTCACAGATAAATCACTGTGGGTCATTGTTAGGTTAGATAGGTAGAAGACTGCCACTTTATTCCGCGTGACTTCTGAACTGTAGTTACTCGTTACCCTGACAGAGCCAAAATAGTTTACGCACTGAATTAAACGTCACACAATGACCATGGCAGATAGTAAGCTGTCATCAGATAGTAGCCAGCAATTATTTGAATTGTTTCCCAGAAGCCTATAGTCAATAAGACTAGCAGAGCGAAAGATGGATTGTTGATAAGCTTTAGGAAAATGTGACTGAGACGCCAGGTTAAATGACCTATGATCTGTAAATTGAGGTAGTTAGGATGGTTTCTCTGAATAGTTTGAACTAAGAACCAAAATATAGATAGAATTAAAACTCGAACGAAACCGCCAAGCCACGTTAGATATCATATTTTACGGTCGGAGCATGAAACTAGAATTCACACGATTGATAAAAATCTTACAAATCTACTTACTTCGTGCAAAGTAATTTGATTTGTGACTTTAGCTTCTCTATCTCTCTGCGACAAGCAAGTCCCAAGCGGAAGAAGTTGTCTGTAATTTGATCTTTTTTAGCAATTAAAACCAAGCGTTCTTTTTCCAGACGACTGACGTGTGCATTCAGTGCCTCAACTTCCGCTTCCAATAATGAAGATTGGGATTGGAGAGAACGTACATGTTCGGGCTTTAAGAAAGAAAGACGACATCAACTTTAAGTTATTAGTCTGTAACAAGAAAACTATGTAACCAAAGCCATAACAACAACCATGACAAATTCTGAATATTTTCCCTCAAAAATCATGGAGTCCCTGATATGCGATGGTATACATGACTATTTACCGTCCTTAAATTTCTTACCCCAAAAGCATGGTTTCAGGAAGGGTTACTCTTGTATAACCAAACTGCTAACTGCGGTGAACAGATGTGCAAGCATCATTGATCGCAAGGGGAGGGTTGACATCATTTACCTTGACTTCTCAAAAGCTTTTGATAGGGGTGACCATATATGTCTTATCCATAAGCTCAAATAATTGGGTATCAGACCACCTCTAATTGATTGGCTCACTTCATATCAGAAAAATCAACATTTTAAGGTCGAGGTTAACTTCACTTTATCTCAGGCTACGGAATATTCTAGTGAGGTCCCCCAGAGTTTAGTACTAGGACCTTCTCTCTTCTTCATTTATATAAACAATCTTCCATAACAGGTATCGTCGGACTTATTACGTTTAGCTGATGACGTGATACTTTTGAAAGAGATACGCAACCAAGACGATATACAGACAATTCAGGAGGATTTGACTCGACTTCAAAGTTTGGCAGACGACAACGGACTTACTTTTAACACTTTCAAAGTGTAAAGTAGCCCATCTGAGACAAGTCGCAGACTAGTTACAACTTAAGAAACTCCTCTCTAGTAGTATCCCGAGTCTAAGAAAATTTAGGAGTCCTGGTACCCTGTGATTTGAAGTCTTACGCTAGCCGTGACAAAAATGCCTTTCGAGCAAACCTAGCAATGGTAACGTTGAAGCGCATTTTTGGCCAGTTTGACGGAAGAACTTTCCACATAATCTTCAACAGTTTTATTCGTCTCCATTTAGAGTACGGAAACATAGTATTTCTCTCCCCTCCAAAAGAATAGGTACACTCTGGAGCCTATCCAACGGCGAGCCACGAAATTAGTCCGGGGACTCATTCAAACCTTATGACGAGCGCCTTCAATCACTTAACCTTTACCCATTAGAGTATAGGCGTCTTAAAGGTGACCTTCTGATGGCTTCCAGTACCCTTAGCACTCCTGGACATCCCCTTAAACGCCTAATTAAGCTTAGTCCCAATACAAACCCATAGGGTAACACCCGGAAAGTGGAGATACAACACAGCAGAATGGACTGTAGATACAACTTCTACTCCTTAAGAGTTGTCAAATGCTGGAATTCGGTGCCGACCGAACTATTCCAAGCGACTTTCCAGGGGTCCCTGAAGAGGAAACTTGACCTATTCGTAAAGACTATGGATATTATCTTATCATGAGTTACCAATTTCTTTTTTTTCTGATCTATTATAGTTAATCTACCTAGGTTCCTGCCTGGAGGTATTGGTGATCCCCTGCTACTAGACACGGAAGCCTGTTAAGCGAAAGTTTCTTCTATTCCGTCCACAACCATTTGAAATCATTTAATTAGGTATGATCTAAGGACTGTAATTTGATAACTGCCTACACGCTCCCTGCCACACAATATATGCCTTATTTGTAAGACACGACGATATCAAACGAATTTCGACAAACTACCCTAAAATATTTCTGGTTCATCATCAAGATAACCGTTCCTCAATAAGAAATCTTTTAAATGTAAAACAATGTCTAATTTCACGTTGACCATGAGAACGGTCGAAACAAGTTGGCCCCATGATACTTAAGTAAACTTGAGACTGGAACTGATGCTTGCGACGTCTTGCTGCCTGTAAACTAGATATAACGAATCAAAGTAACAGTCCGAAAAATTTATAAAAATCAGTAAACAAATTTTATGAAAACTTCGATACCACATCTAAACTGCACAGATATTCCAGTCTTTTTTCATCATCTTCAGCTACAATTTCACTATAAAGATCGAGGTCAGTCATCCCTGACCAGCGACCTGGCTAGAAAAAAAACTCCGAAGTCGGTAGCGTCAATTAGGGATTAGACCGCCTAAATAGCGCTAGAACATTACAAATGTCAAACTTTGCGGTAGAGAAATGACTGGTTGTGATTCTTGAAGTATGTGTTTGAAAGATTTCAGAAACATTAAAACATGAATATTTTATCCGTCTATCATATCCAGGAACAGATGAATGGATGGGTCGAACAATTTAAGGAATTCCTAGATAGACCAGCTCCATTGAATCCACCGGACATCGAAGCAGTACACACAGACCTTCCCATAGATGTCACTCCATCAACGATCGAAGAGATCTGGATGACCATCAGACAAATCAAGAGTGAGAAAGCAGCAGGATCTGACAATATACCAGCTGAAGCACTGAAGTCAGACATAAGAGTAACTGCAAACATGCTTCACCTTTTATTCACAAAGATTTGGGGGGAGGAATAAGTGCCACCGACTGACTGGGAAGAAAGATATCTGGTCAATGTACAGAAGAAAGGAGATTTGAGCAAATATGAAAACTATCAAGGCATTACACTACTGTTGGTACCAGGAAAAGTTTTCAGTGTTGCTGACCCGGATGAAAGATTCAGTAGATGCCCAACTTCGAGATCAATACGCCGGATTCCATAAGGATCGGTCGTGCACAGACCAAATCACGACACTACGGATCATCATTGAACAACCAACTGAGTGAAACTCGTCACTATACATCAACTCCCTTGATTATGAGGAAGCCTTTGACAGTGTAGATAGGAGGACCTTGTGGGATCTTCTTTGACACTATGGCGTACCTGAGAAAATCGCCATCATCATCCGGAATTCATACGACGGAGTGCAGTGCAAAGTCGTGCATGGAGGACAGCTGACAAACGTATTCCAGGTGACGACCGGAGTCAGACAAGGCTGTTTTTTCTCCCTCTTTCTCTTTCTTATGGTGGTTGGATGGATTATGAAGACCTCTACATCTGAAAGGAAACACAGAATACAACGGATAGCTTGGGTGCAATTAGACGATTTGGACTTTGCAGATGACCTGGCTCTTCTATCCCGTACACAGCAACAAATGCAAATGAAGAAAGCCAGTGTAGCAGAAGTCTCTGCATCAGTAGGCTTCAACATACACAAGAGAAAAAGCAAGGTCCTCAAATACAACACAGGGAACACCAACATTACCACACTTGGTAGAGAAACTCAGGAAGGGGTGAAAACTCTTACGTGCCCGTGCAGCATCATCGTTGAACAGGGAGGATCTGATGCAGACTTAAAGGCAAAGATTGTCAGAGTAATGGCTGCATTCTTACAGTTGAAGAACATATGAAAATCAAAACGACTATCAACCAATATCAAAGTTACGGTCTTCAATACGAACGTCAAGACAGTTCTACTGTACGGAACTAAAACTTAAAGAACTACTACAATCATCATCAAAAATGTACATGTATTTATGAACAATCGTCTAAACAAGATACTCAATGTCTGTTGGTCGGATATCAGCTGCAACAGCCTACTGTATGAGAGATCAGCTTATGGGATGGAATATCTTTAATGGGTGAAAGCTACAATATTGACTTGATTAGAAACCTAAATTTACGATAGCATGATGTACTTCTGTACCAAATAAGCAGATATTAAAATGCTGTATAACAACTGGAAATGATTTTCCACGACAGAGGTCTATGGAGAATGCTAGTGAACAGCCTTTGCTCCTTCACGAGGGGTAACAGTCGAAAGTATTTACATTGGAGATTTCTGTTCATCATATTCTTCGTCGGTTTTCCATCATTTTTAATTTCATTGGGTGAGAAATATAAGGGTGAGTTTAAGTATACTCGTACATAAGTAACGATATAAAGCATACTAAAAACTTGTATTCATATGTGTAGAAAGCTTGCGATACCGCAAAGTGTCTTACAGTGATGTATTTAAATTTTTCAGAATAAAACACACATTCATATGACAACATCAGTGCAATATATATGTTTCTGTCTTTTTGACTTAAGTATACAAACAATATAAAATAAAACGTTATGCAGTGTTCTATGAAAGGTGGTCATCTACGTGTTCTGGAAATATTACCTTTTGTCAGAGCGCGTTGTTGAGTGGCGGTTATCCGGTACCAGTGAAGTTTCGTCGTGGATGGTGATTATCGGGAACAGCATCGTAACTATGGGGTCCGTGTCAAGTAAAATCAAAATTTTTGGAGTTTCCTCCTGGATACATAGATATAAGATGGTCAGTCCTGATACTATCGTTATTTCGGTTTTTATTGATGGAACATCACTTAGGGTTACAATGAAAAATTTTATGGGGCACTCCGCACTCAGGTTCTAGAGGTCGGAGTAATGAAAGCTCGTACTCTTAGTTGTAAGGTGGATTGGACGATAACATTAATTAATAGCATTATAATGGAAGCAGGTTTAACTATACGCATCTCAGTTGCAAGTATGCTAGTGTAAGAGCTTAGATCCATATTGTTTGAAGAAGAAGGACCAACGAACTCTCGGAAGTCGAAGTGTTCTTCTGTAAACGAGTCGTGCAGCTGTGCATCAAGCATAAGCATTTACTCTATTGAGAATACTAAGTAACATAAATGAAGAGCCTCAGTCTATTGTGGTATGGTTACGAGCCAAATTGAAGCTCTTAACAGTCGGTAAAGTTGTTCTACTAACCGTTAGCTTGTGGGTGGTGAATGGTCGTTCGGAATCGTATGATTTCTAGTGATGCGGTAAGAAAACAGGAAAGTTCAGATTCCAACTGGAATCCACAGTCTGTAGTACTATTTGAAGTACGGTCGAATTTTGCTAACTACCGTTCGATTAGGGTATGGGCATCTGTTTTAGCCGTGATGTCTTTGATTAATACTACTTCTGGCCATCGTGTGAAACGGCACACAATTGTTAATTGATAAGAGTATCCATTGGAATCTAGTAAGGGTCCTACTAATTCAAGATGGATGTGTTCACACAGAGCGTCAGGAGTTTCTAAAGAACCTGAGGGGAATTTGCTGAAGAGTCATCTTAGTTTTTGGGAGATTACAAAACAACGTGAACACTCCCTCACATCGTTATTCATGCCAGGCCAACAAAATCGTTCAGCTAAGAGTTTAATGACTGAGAGAACACACCGATGAGAAAGCTTGTGCAACGTATTGAATACGTTGCGTTGATAATGTTTCAGCTCCACTCGACGACCCCTACCTGTAGATGGATTATATAAAAAATTGCCTTACCTGTTTTCATCTATTCGGTCAGTAGTTTCAAGAATCTTGTTGAAAACTCGTACTCAATATCGGTGTTTTCCTTTTAAAGCTTGGCGAGCTTAAGAAAATTGAAGCCTTGGAAACTGTTCGATAAAGGTACACGTGACAACTACATTGTTCACTCCAGAGATATGTTGTATTTCTGAAGTAAACTGGGAAATATAGTCTAGCTGATGAGACTCTCGAGGATAGTACTTGTTTGAAGACAAGCTAAGAGAAAACGTAAGAGGTTTATATTCTGTGGAGAGTGAGTTCGCATCGCCACACGTCATTGTAAAAGGGCCGCACAGCACAATACATTGCTGGGAGTTCCCCAAAGAAGGTAGTGATCATAGGGATTTTATAAATGTCGTCATTAGCCATAGGAAACTGGTTATATTATTCGACCAGACAGTTTTTTAGGAAGTGGTTTTGCCTTTTCAGGTAGCCTTCGGGTCATGGATATGGTGCAAAGGGTTATGGAATTACGGTCTAATTTTTATTAGTATTGCCGTAATAATATACCTTATCCCAAAATTGTGGATTTGTCATGATGCGAAAACCTAATCTATAAGATCTTACGTAGAAGTCACATCATCGTCTATTCTGACTCACTGTATCGTAACAATGGGCAATATGTTTGACGTTTCTAAAGAACACATTTAGGTTGGAGATAGGACAATATATTTAATGTGAATAGAAGAGATAAGCTACGCAAGAATGACCACTCCTGCAAGGCTGAGTAATGCCATTCGACCCAATATCGAATAAGTGTTCCCGCGTTCACTATTGTTGACCTTCTCTTCGTGTTAATTGTTAAATATAAATTTTTTCAGTAATTATATGCTCTACTTTGAAGGTCGTGTGGTTAAAAACCAATGCCACTACAGGGTAGTGTTTGCGAATGGCTTTTGCATTCAGTCATCGTTAATCACCAGTTGGACGCTAATCGTCGCTATTCTTTTCAGGACCGTGTGCATAGGAGATGCCTATGGGCTGAATAATTCCCTAGTCTATTATGTGCCGGAATTCGTTTTTGGCAAACCTTAGCTTTATGGGAGCCAGTTGACACGAGATGAGATGCACAATATTCCCGGGCACTTACGGTAATTTTGTTCGCGTTGGGGACAGTTTGGGTACTTGTTGAGTGTTCGTCAGAAGTATAGATCGATTATATGCTTAACAATGACTGGGATAACCTGCAATCAAAAAATGCTTTCGTCTGAATCGGGTAGTAGTTTATGGTGTTGTAGCAGTTCTACACCAATGATTGGTATAAGGACATCAGCGACAACGAATATCCAGTGAATGGGTTTGCGTAAATCCATGTTAATACAGAAATATTGCTTACCGTATGTGACGGTCGATTTTCCATTTGGTATCTGTAAGTTGAAGACCGGTCCATGCATAAAGTCGTTAGAGTTAGCAAGAATAACGCTTATGTTGAAGAGGTAGCTAAATTTCGTCGCCGAATGAGTGACGTGCAACAGCCGACTATGTGTTCTGGCGGTGAGGTTTCCCGAAAGGATTTTCTTGTCCGATAGTTTGTAGCTTGGAAATCTGCAGGGGTTTTTGCAATTTATGGAAGGCTTACCACACATATTGTGGTACCGACACCAATCAGGAGTGTATTCCTCTTGCAGTCAAGAGACAAATAATTTTCTTCAGTCTCTTTTTCCGGAAATTTCGTAGTGTCTATGATTATAGTGAATATTAAGGCAGCGAGCGAGTTTATGACAAATATACAGATCAAAACTGGGGAAAACTTCTTCCACATCAAGTATGCAACAATATTGAACAGACTTCCC